TAAAGATGGAAAAGGATATAAAAAGATATCCAAAACCTTGAAAATGCCAGTCAGTACTGTTCAATCACTTATTAAGAAGTGTAAAATTTGTGGGATCTCTTGATACCAATCCAAGGTCAGGTAGACCAAGAAAGATTTCAGCCACAACTGAAGAATTGTTCGGGATACAAAGAAAAACCCACAGGTAACCTCAGGAGAAACATATGCGGCTCTGGAAAAAGACGGTGTGGTTGTTTCAAGGAGAACAAAACGACGATACTTGAACAAAAATGAGCTGCATGGTCGAGTTGCCAGAAAGAAGTTACTGAGTTTACTGAGCCAATGCCACAAAAAAGCCAATACCACAAAAAAGCCCAGTTACAATATGCCCGACAACACCTTGACCATAAGCCCTATGTTTGGAAGAGGGGTCAACAAGGTGTATAGTGAAAAGAATACCATCCCCACTGTGAAGCATGGTGGTTACTCACTGATGTTTTGGAGGCGTATGAGCGCTAAAGGCACGGGGAATCTTGTGAAATTGATGGCAAGATGAATGCAGCATGTTCTCAGAAAATACTGGCAGACAATTTGCATTCTTCTGCATGAAGGCTCTGCATGGGACGCTCTTGGACTTTGCAGTATGACAATGACCCTAAGCACAAGGCCAAGTTGACTCTCCAGTGGTTACAGCAGAAAAAGGTAAAGGTGCTAGAATATGCAAGATGACAAAAGACTGTGCATGACCAGGAGGCATTATGTCAAGATGAATCGGCAGCTATACCACCTTCAAGAATTAGGAGCCTCCGAGGCAACTATTGCAAAAGACTGCATGCTATCATTGATGATAAAGGGGGCAATACACAGTGTTAAGAACTAAAGGTATGCAGACTTTTGAACAGGGGTCATTTCATTTTTTTTCTTTACCATGTTTTGTTATAACTATACAAACAAATTTGTGAAATATAGGCGCTTATATAGTGGTCTATTTTGAAATATTTAATATAGCAGCTGAAACACTGTGTGGGTGCTCCAAAATCACCCACTAAATAGAATACTCGAGAATACACACAAAGCCAGGTGTCGAAGTGATTAACCCCTAAGATACCTGGTGCAGCGCTATTAGTGCAGCACTATTTAGAAGTGTACAGTATGGTATAAAACTCACTCTTCAAAACTCAGGGTGAGTTGGATCAAACATAGAAAAAGAGGAATATTAGAATATATAGTGTAATACTGTTACACAATAGGTAAAATATAGTGATGGGGTGAGTGGTGATAAACTCACATGGTAGAGAGCCTTTTATACACAGGCTCTAAACTTTACAGCTCGAATGCCTTAGGATGACATACAACCCCTCTTGATCTTCTGAGTATGTGGATATCCCCTCCGTATGATGTATATAGCAGGGAGATAAAAGGTGAAGAGAGATATCCTAAGTGTAGTGTGTTAAGAACTAATAGTGAGCTATAACACACACATAGGTATGCCCACCTGGTAGAGAGCCTTCCAGACTGGCTCTAAGTTCAAACGTTTATGTGTCTTTTCTGGGTGACACTTTCCCCTAGATACCTGGTATATGGAGGCTGGATCCGTTTCTTAAAGTGCACTCAGTGCTCTTTATTTGATAAAATACAAATTAAGTTAAACGTATAAGTACACAAATAAACAAAAAATATATAAATACAATTAATGTTCTTGGATCCTCTAAAATGCGTTTCTCCTATTCAGTAGGCTGTTTTAATCGGTTGTCCTTCCTGTTCCGGGTTCTGATATTATAACGGTATTTCGGGTCCTCCCATTGAGCTTTCTCCTCCAATCATTGCATAACCTGATCTGTAGCCTTCTGCGCAATCACCTGTCTTACATTGCTGATTTCCGTGCCGTTGAATTCCAAATGCTTGCAGTACGTAACTTCCGGGTTTTGTCCGTAACTACAGCGCCCGTGATGCTCTGTGCTGGTATGTTCCGTCACCGGTCTGATGGACCGCCTGGCACCCCGACCGTGTACCTCCGTCAATCGCTGCTTCCTATTACTTGCAAGCACCATAAGCACTGTACTGGAACACCATAACCACCTTAAACCCCACGAACCACCGCAGCTTGGTTGGGGTCTCACCATCCTCCACCCACCCTGGACCCAAGACCAGGATCCAGCTTCCAGTGGGTAGACCTCTCCTAGTTCTTAGAAGAGCTAGCGATTATACTCAGGGGAGTATTGTGATATAGCAATCCCCAGAGTGTATGTAGTTCTCCAATCCCCCAAAAATGAGCCAAGACTTCATGAAGGGGTAAAGCATTCTGTTTGCATTCTGGCAGCCACCACTGACCTTATATGCAAGGGGTGCTCCCACCTGGACCTTGTGTGGAACTGCAGCACCAAGTCACAGACCAATAACAACAATGGTTAAATGCATGACACTCCCATATACCAACACACTATCCTTCCTCTCTGCCTTGGAGATAATTGAATCAGGAACTGTACTGATCTAATTCAATAATCTCCAAGCACAGAAAAACATACTTTTTAAAAAACACCCCAAAAGTACCCTAAAATACATAAAACCCCACAAATGACCCACCGTGCACATGGTCCCATGCCCAAAACAGTTCCAGAGAATTAGGGCTAACGGTCGGTCACTCTGTCTGGAGTACAAAAGTACATACTTCACATGAACAGAGCCTTTTAAAGTGCATTGGGCAAGGTATATTGCAGGGCCCATAGTCCTGAGGCAAGAGGCTGGCAAACAGGCCCCTCCAAAAGCCAGTGATGAGGTTACTTTCGTCACACCCGGTATATTACGTTATGTGGAAGTCCATTCATATAAGTGTAGATAAAAAAAAAATATATACATAAACATAGTCAGGCTATAGTGTCTATATTACACAGAATAGATTAAATCTATCTTAATTAGGGCAAATGTAACTCAAAAATCTGTAATACTGTTATTAATTAAATATAATAATGTTTGCCTGTTTAAACTCTAAAATAAAATATTAGCACTGGTAAATATATTTTGATTAAAATTGGGAAATGTCAAAATTAGTATTGAATTCATTACTATAATTAAAAAAACACTATCACTATTCTTTATCGGATTAAAGAAATGACCAAAATAGAAACCTTGCTGAGTAAAATTAAATTAAATATGATTAAGTATATTCAAGCTGCAAAACGTCATAAAAAGTGTCATAGTTCAAAATCTTTTTTTTATAATGTCATCCCCTATCCAATGTGTCTCCACTTTTTGGATTGCTAAAAATGTTAGACATTTTGGGTCACAGTTATGTGTTTGTTTAAAATGCATTGATACGCTGTGTTTTGTAAAATCTTTTTTGATGTTCCTAATATGCTCATTAATTCTTATATATAGTGGTCTTTTAGTCCTCCCCACATAATATAAATTACACGTGCATTTTAACAAATAAATCACCTGTTTTGTATGGCAGGTAATTAGATTTCTTTTTTTATATTCTTTTTGTTTATGGGGATTTTTGAACGTGGCTATATGTCTTTTTCGTACTTCCTGTTTGTCGACAGGCTATGAACACACTACATCCAAAAAAAAACTTCCTTGTGAAGGAATGTTTTTTTGTTTCTTCTCTCTCGTGTGATTATTTGTGAGTTTAGTGGCTAAGTTTGGGGCACCTCTGTATATAATAGTGGGTTTTTCGGGTAATAAATTGTATAATATTGGATTGGAGATGTAAAATAAAGAATAGTGATAGTGATAGTGTTTTTTTTAGCTATTTTTAGCTATTTTTAAAATGAATTCAATACTAATTTTAACATGTCCCAATTTTAATCAAAATATATTTACCAGTGCTAATATTTTATTTTAGAGTTGTAAAACATTATTATATTTAACTAATAACAGATTTAAATGGTTTTACAGATTTTTGAGTCACATTTTCCCTAATTAAGAGAGCTTTTATCTATTCTGTGTAATATAGACACTATAGACTGACTATGTTTATGTGTATATATTTTTTTTATCTACACTTATATGAATGGACTTCCACATAACGTAATATACCGGGGACGGAACATACCAGCGCAGAGCATCACGGGCGCTGTAGTTCCGGACAAAACTCGGAAGTGATGTACCACAAGCATTTGGAATTCCACAGCACGGAAATCAGCAATGTAAGACAGGTGATTGCGTAGAAGGCTACAGATCCAATATTATACAATTTATCACCCGAAAAACCCACTATTATATCTCTTCACCTTTTATCTCCCTACTATATATCTCCCTGCTATATACATTATAGGGAAGGGTTATCTACATACTCAGAATATCAAGAGGGGTTGTAAGTCACCCTAAGGCATACCAGCTGTAAAGGTTAGAGCCTGTGTATAAAAGGCTCTCTACCATGTGAGTTTATCACCACTCACCCCATCACTATATTTTACCTATTGAGTAACAGTATTACACTATATATTTTCCTATTCCCCTTTTTCTATGTTTGATCCTACTCCCCCTGAGTTTTGAAGGGTGAGTTTTATACAATAATGTACACTTCTAAATAGCGCTGCACTAATAACACCAGGTGTCTTAGGGGTTAATCACTTCTACGTCTGGCTTTGTTATAACCAACATTGAATATGAATCTCATAAGAAATAAAAGAAATGTGTTTTGTCTGCGCATGTTTTCTTTAAAAATGGTACCTATATTACCAATTCTCCAAGGGTATGCAAACTTTTGTGCACAACTGTAGTTGCTGTTATTTCAACTTTATATCTTTTTCTCTGCCCTTCTTGCTTTTTCATCTACCCTAGACTCCCTGCTTCTCCTCTACCCAGGCTTTCCTGTTCCTCCTGCCCCATGCTCCCCTGCTTTGACTCTACACCAGATATATGTAGATATATATATTTCAGATACACACGCTGACACACATGCAAATACACAGATACAAACACTGACACACATGCGGATGCATAGACACACAGATAGCAGCACTGACATAAATGCAGATATAGACACACAAAGTCACACAAACACACAGATACAAACCCTGCCACACATGCAAATGTACAGATACAAATGCTGACACACATACAGATACACTGACAAACAGATACAACCTAGATAATGGCTATTGCTATTCTCACCAATGTTATATAACAATAAGATCTGCAGTTATTTCGGCTAACTCGTAACCTTTTTTGATAATTTTCTTGGTAAAAACGTTAAAATAAAAAAAAAGCTAGAAAGAAAAAAAATCTTTCTTAGCCTTTTAGCTTGCTCTGGGGACAGATCATTCAAAATTTGAGAAATTGAAGCCCTCAGTATACCATCAATCAAAGCCTTGCATGATGTCTTGATGCAAGATGTGGCCTATTGTTTTTTCCACTCACATCCATCATCTACACATTATGCTCCTCAAATATTTTTAAATCCAAATCCATGCTGTATTCATTACTTAAATGAGGAAAGGTTTTATTATTAGACTCGCTCATTACATTTATCAGCATATACTGGCATTCCTTTACACAAAAGAAGAAAATATTCTAAAATCAAACGAAATATAACAATGGCTCATAAACACCTCAAAACTATAATTCCAAATTTCTTTCACCCAATTTCGTCATACGATGCCTTACATTTTTTAAGTTAGAATGGGTAATGCCAACATTTAAAAATACGACAGACACAAATAATTATTTTAAAAAAAATGCATTCCGTGATTACATAATCGAAAACAAAAAAAATTATGGACCCTTTAAATAAGAATTGGACACATCCGTATAAAGTAACACCTTGCTCCATTTATATTAGTAGCAATGGTTCCTCAAAGCACTCAATGTGTTGGAAGATGTCCCATTAATTCTTCAGGATATTCTGTAAAATATGATGATGATACAAGTGTGAAGATCTCGTAAAAACAAGTAAAACAATAGATTTGCCAGGAGTGAATCATCTGCTGGCACAATGCTGAATCCAATCTTGTTTAACATGGAATTAGCACAAGTGGAACTTGCAAGAAAGCTAGTTAGAGTCCTTTCAATATATATATCGAAAAACAAAAATGCTGTCATGGTAGCCACATAATGTAACACTGCTTTGGTTTCAAATGACTATAGTTAGTTTTATGAGCACAATAAAATGGAAGCAGATTGCCAGTTCTATGAAGTGCTTTACAGTTAATGTGCAAGGCTGAACGTTGAAAGTAAAAATAAACAACTATATACAAAGAGCAATATTCAAGCACTTATTTAACTGCTTCCATGTTGAAGTTGTCAAAGTTTATGCTGATGCAAGTTCAAGAGAAAATGGGAAGCTTTTCTTAGAAAGGCTGCAGATCTTATCTTTCCAAGGACGGAGAAGAAAGCTTTCATTGTTTTGAAGACCTTGTTTATTTGCTGAGCGCATCGGACGTGTACATGGGCTATAAAGTACACATATTAACTCTTATTCCAAAACCGCATCTTCTTATAATTCTTCATGTGTGTCCCAAAGTGCTCCTAATTCTCCCAAACCACCGATCCATGATCTGAAGATAATTATGAGAAAAAACTAATTGTTAGCGGTTTTTGAACAAGATTAAAGAGGCACTCTACGCACCAAAACCACTATTCCTTGATGTAGGGATTTTATTGCATAGCTGCTGTTCCTTTTCTGTAACAATAAAAAAAAAAGCTGTTTCTGAGAAATATCAATGTTTACATTTTGCAGAAACCGCCATTCTTGTGGTTATCTATCCACGTGAGCTGCTTTCTCCTTAAGATTATTCTGAAGGTTTTCATGTTCTGCGTTATCACATACAGCATAGTGAAGCATGGCTAATGCTTCTCATAGAGAAGCTCTTCGTTGGTGGATTCTGGTGATTGTTGTGCATGTGACTTCAAAGTGTGCTCTCATACTTCTCTGTGAGAAGCAGCTGATTTGACAGAGAACATGATTAATGCTACTATAGTAGTAGAATATGGCTATGGAGAGGAGTCTGTCTCGATGCTGGATTACAGATAAATTTGTTTTTATATTTTTTTAATTTTTTTTTTTACAAAGAAGGGGCAATACTCTAAACCTACTACAAAACACATCCGACTTTACAAATAATATGCACAAGCCATACTTTTATTTTACAATTTATTTTATAACTATGTTAGACACATTTATGTTTCTACCCAAAGGAAAGGCCTGCCATTTTAAAGGGACAATGAGGTTTAATCAATGTGTCAGTAAACAGCGGTGACCACATATTGTGCTTGACACTTCCTACATGTCTACCGTTTAGGTTGGGTAGGTCAAAGAATCATAAATAGAAACATAGACGTTAATTCACTAGCAGTGTAGGCTAGTCTTTAGGGGGCAGGTGGGGTGCCCACCTCCCACTTCCATGTTCCTGTTGAAAAAAAAAAAAAATAATAGTAATAATCTATTTGCATTGTAAGGATTACTGATAAGTGTGAGTTGGAAAAAACACACAAAAATTACTGTATCCATATGACTTGAGATGTGACTGGTTTTGTGCAGGGCATAGGGTAGAGTCCAAAATGTTGGGTAGGGGGGGAGGGCAGTCCCACCACCTTTAAACTTCACCAGTTGTCACTGTTCAATAAATTGAATATTGCCAGGAATTCAAAGAGAATTGAAAGATAAATTCTAATTTAAGACCAATATAGCCATAATGAATTTGTATAACTACATTAAAAAGCTTGCACAGTACATGTAGCAAAGACCATAAAAATGATGGTAAGTACAAAGGTAATGTAAAACTGAATATTACAAGTACAGTGAAATATTAGCACATGCAAGCACTGCTACCTTTCTCAGGGGGGTGTGCAGACCTGTTGTCTCATAGATTTGTTCATCATGTATGCTGAATGCGGTTCTTGGAAGAGATCTGAAAATAACGTACTCAATATGACATCAGATTAAAAAAAAAAAAAACAGCTGGACCATCTGGTCTTTCCATTAATGAAACCTCAGACTAATAAAAGCACGATATGAGCACTGTTTATTATTATTATTATTATTTATATAGCGCCAGCAAATTCCATAGCGCTGTTTGATAAATTATGTTGAAGGATGCCTTTTCTCCTTGTTTCATGTCGCTTATCATTCATTTCCATAGCTGTGTTGTCTTATCTTGGCTTGTATAATGATAATTTAATTTAAATATTTCCCTAAAAAGTGGGGCGTCCCCTTCTGGCAACACCAACTGCATATTTCCCTAACATCTCAAATGGACAAAGCGGGGCACTTTAATTTCAAGGGTGTGAGTAGGGGGTGAAATTTCAGATGACTAATAACAATTCAGAAGAAGAACAATGTATGTTATGTACACAGATTGATTTCCAAACACATTTATTGACATCTAAAGACACATTACTGTGAGTATTATTTCTGTGGAGCTCTGTTTTAAACCAAATGGGACTTTAGGACACAAAAAGAGGGACAGATGCATATGGACTTAAAATAAGGACGCTTCAGAGGTATACAACTGCCATGTAGGAAATGGATAAAATGTGATTTTTGCGATGTGGGTATTGTAGTTTAGGTCTTTTAGGATCATTGAGTCTTGCTACAGGGTAGATTTTATTTACTGTCATTTGCTTGGGTGGTGTAGGTGCAGCAAAACAATAATTTAGATGGTCACTACAAGCTTGGGTGAACCAGGAGACTTTAACATGAATAACTGCCTTCATCCCAAAACTATAAATACACACAATCTCCAAGCCCGAGTGGGTTAGACAGATACACAACATCCCCAAAGGCATATGATATATGACAGACAATAGGTGGTGAAAAAAGACAAGTCTCCGCAGATGAAAACGGGCAACCCAAATGACCCGCACTACACCGGGACGCCTGACACACACTACAAACAAACACAGGGAAATGGCAGGGGGATCCCGGGAAGGTAAGAAGGGGGCACAGAGGCTAAAATATAAGATTGTAACACCTACATACTCCCTTCAACCTCCAATTGAGATGCAGTGATCCGCAACAAGTCAGATAACTAAGGGTCATGCAAAATTGAGTTCAACCACCACTGCATGAAAATACCCAGCCACCTAATCCCCAATGTGTGCCTAAATGGGGGGAGCAACCTGAAAAATGTACCCACTTGGGTTTATGTACCTTAAAGCGTTATGTACTTTAGAGCGTTATTTAAACACTACTCTTTCCTTTCTTTCTGTATTACCTAATGTTTTGAAAAATATTTTAATAAAAAAAGATTGACAAAAAAAAAAAAATACACACAATCTAAATTTGTATCACAATACAAAGCTATAAATATGAAATCAAACCCATTAAGCCTGCATACCTCTGCTCAGGTGCTGATCTTCACCTGGCAAATTAGCAGACTGGTTTGCACTTTTTGTCTGGTGCAGAGGGACTGGAAATACTGTTCACCACATTTGAAATACACTAGATGTGATCTTGCTGACTTGAGGAGGGAGGCCTACTTTTTTTCTGATATTTTTCTATCCATCCATCCATCATGGCAATGTTGCTGCCTTAGAACTGAGAAATAATATTACGTTACTGCAGCTTCTTTTACCTTGCCATTCAATTCTTGTCAAGAATGAAACAACTTACGGCGGGTTACCAGTGATGGACAGGAGTACATGAGCTATGCACAGTAGACTTCAAATCGAATTGTTTTTAATCTATGGAAAACAAAAGTTATAGGTGCTCGCTATAGTGCAATGAATTAGTGAGGGCTGCTGTATACAATACAAGGATTCCCAAGACCTTGTGTAATAATTAGGATATATATATAGAAAAGGATATGGTGTATACTGCGCCCAAAAATCATACGTACATAGACCTTCAGAGGGTACAATGCTGTGAACCTCAGGGTAACAAAAAAAGAACAATAATGGCACAGTACAGCATGATAAAGTGCAAATTATACAGATAGTAGCTATGGGAGAACCACTCACATTTAATAGAGCTATATTTGAGCTCTGCTGTATTGCACGTGGATGGTACAATCCCCGTCTAAGGATATATGGTGGTATAAGTAGTGCTGGTCCTCCAGATGCAAATGCAGATATGCGTGGTATATATGTAAGTAGAAGAGCAGAAAAACTCCAATGGTGTAGTAAGTACTATAATTTGGAATTAGAAAGAAGTAATGTACTTACATTTTTGAGAGCAAGGCCTGCTCTAGCTATCACAGCATGGATGGTATAATCCCCACCTCAGGATTTGATGGTACCAGGTAGCAAACAGGAGACAAATAGCTATATGAAAAGATAACTGTTTATTCTAAAAAACATAAAAACATAAGAACAATAAAGTTGTCCTGAAATTGAATGAGTGTCCCACTTGATGCGTTTTGCCTGTCCAGAGGTTTTTTTTCTCCATAATGTGCACTTTATCATACTGTACTGTACCATTATTGTTCTTTTTTTGTTACCCTGAGGTTCACAGTATTGTACTCTCTGAAGTTATATGTACGTATCATTTTTTGGCGCAGTATACGCCATATCCTTTTCCTGAACGAATCAGTCCATCTGGGATTTACCTGTCGAGTCATATTTATGGGATAAGACTCCACAGTTAAATCCTGTAAGGATCAATTAGTGTGGACACAGATTAAAAAGGTCAAAACAGAGGGGGTGGAGCAGCGCTGAATAACTGATCAATGAAAAAAAAAAGGGCAGCTCACTTGAATTTAGGGGATTCCCTCTAAAACACTAGAAAGGGAATAGAAAAGTAAAGCAAAAAACATGTAACACACAAGAGAACAAGTGAAATAAGAGGTCTGAGAAATCTCTAAAAACACAATAGAAATAAAATAAAAATAGTCCTTGATATAATTAACTGATAAAAAGGACTACAAAAAAACAAGTAGCAAGACACAGTGTAAAAGAAATATTCCATCTTTATAAAGTGCTTGTGGGACAACTTCGGTCAATAGCAGCATATGGAAAAGAACACAAACAGGAGGAGACCAATATTGCAATATGATAATATACTGGGTTACACACTACACAAAAGATCTAAATTGCCAACTCACGTTTGGTAGAGCTATGACCAGCTCTGGATAAAACAGCGCGCAGTGGTATGATATCCCCACTTCCAGGATATTCTTCAGGCAGAGATTCACAGTAGAGTGTTGACGAGTTGGGACATTTGCAATGGAAAAAAAAAGCCGATAGTGCTCTCTGTGTATTGCTTTACTTTTGATTTACAGATTAAAAGGGAATTTGATTTGTTCAATCTACCGGACATGCATTTGCACACAAATCTAAATTGTAACTCTCTCTTTGAAAACAACGAGAGGACCAGTCATGTGGTCTTGGCAGAAGCTGAACATTTGCAGGGAATGAAGGTAATCTGCATGTCTTGTTTTTTCTTCCTACCTTTGTTTATCGATTGTTTCCAGAAAGCATTCATGCAAAGGGAGGTCTTCCCCAGCCCGAGGCGCCCCTTTAAAGTTTTATTTCTTTTGCTATTTTCCTTTGAGAACCGTTTATTTTCTAACTGCTACAACTGATTTTATGGAAGTGACTTTGGAATTTATGGATTGGTTTGTTAGATTATTCCATGTGCTGCTATGGAAATAAATACGAGATCAAAAGACTACCCTTAAATAAGGATTTTATCTTCCCCTCCAGGTAAGCAGTTTAAATAAGAAATTTGTCGACAAGCTACTTCCTGTTCGTTTGGTCTTCCAGTTTCCCCTGTGGATGCAGAAACGTCTCATTAAGTTGTACACTATTATGCTGTTATTATCTATCACCGCTCTCCTATGTTGGAGATACTGACGTCTTGTCATAGTTGACTGTGTAAGCCATTTGCCACATTTTGCTGAAAGCCATCTTGCTCTTATGACAACGCAGTCCTTAGTTTGTATTATGATGCTTTTGAATGGTGTAGGAATTTCACTTGAATTTCATTTCAGTGTTTATTAGTTTATTCATAAAAATTCCACTTTTAGGAAAAAATCTGAAGTGTCAGTGTTGCTTTAATTGGTGAAATGTATACAGGAAATGCCACATTTATATACATTTCTGTAACATTTTGCCTTAAAAAAAATATTTACTTGCAGATAATATATTAGTTAACTGTCCTGAGCGTGATGATATGTTTGGTCATCTTCATGAATTGCTACTTTAATAAATATTTCAAAATATGGCATGCACATCGATGGGAGTTACTAGAGTAAAATCTAACAAAATAGATACCTTTTTATATTAATTAATGTTTATAAAATACCCAGTTAAGGCCACAGGGTGTAACATAGAATGTGACGGCAGGTAAGAATCATTTGGCCCATCTAGAATGCCCAATTTTCTAAATATTTCCATTATTCCCTGGCCTTATCTTATAGTTAGGATAGCCTTATGCCTATCCCACGCATGCTTAAACTCCTTCATTGTGTTAACCTCTACTACTTCAGCTGGAAGGCTATTCCATGCATCCACTACCCTCTTAGTAAAGTAATACTCCCTGATATTAATTTTAAACCTTTGCCCCTCTAATTTAAGAGTATATCCTCATGTTGTGGTTGTTTTTCTTCCTTTAAATACAGTCTCCTCCTTTACTGTTTTGATTCCCTTAGCTAGGGTTAACAAATAAGGTGAGCACTTCCAAACACTCATCCCTGCGCTCTCCCTCCATCCCCCCATCCCCTACAGTTACTTACAGACACACACAGATAGACTGACATGCACACAACCACAGATACACAGGCAAACATAAGCAATTACAGATAGATACATATAGGTACACTTTCACAGACTGGAACACAGTTGCACACACAGATACAGTCGCACACAGATGGCCACATGCGGGCACAGACACAGTCAGGTACACACCGACACAGATAGGCATACATACACACAGGCACAGACAGATACAGGCTGATACACACAATTACACAGAGTGGCACACACAGATAAAGACAGGTACACACAGGCAAGCATATGCACACAGACAAACACATATAGACACACAC